TAGGAGGATACTAGATGTGGAACAAGGATGACTGGACTGCTACTCACATCACCAGGGAGGCTACCTGGAAAACAGGACCCCAAGAAAGACACGGGGATCACCCAATGACGGAGAAATGGAAGAGATCTACATGAACAGTCTGGACATGAGTGGGGGTAATGAAGGGCGAGGGTCGAGGGAAAGAGCTTGGGCGAGTGGGAGATCCCAGCTGGATCAACAACAGAGAGGGAGAACAAGGAATAGGAGACCATGGTAAATGAAGACCACATGAGAATAGGAAGAAGCAAAGTGCTAGAGAGGCCCACAGAAATCCACAAAGATACCCCCACGACAGACTGCTGGCAATGGTCGAGATACAGCCCGAACTGACCTACTCTGGGGATGGGATGGCCAAACAGCCTAATTGTCGTGCTAGAAACCCCATCCAACTACTGAGGGATCTGGATGCAGAGATCCATGGCTAGGCCCCGGGTGGATCTCTAGGAGTCCAATTAGTGAGAATGAGGAGGGTTTATATGAGCGAGAATTGTTGAGATCAAGGTTGGATAAAGCACAGGGACAAATAGCCAAACAAATGGAAACACATGAACTATGAACCAATGGCTGAGGGGTCACCAACTGGATAAGGCCCTCTGAATGGGTGAGACAGCTGATTGGCTTGATCTGTTTGGGAGGCATCCAGGCAGTGGGACCGGGTCCTGTGCTCATTGCATGAGTTGGCTGTTTGAAACCTGGGGCCTATGCAGGATCACTTGGCTCGGCCTGGGAGGAGGTGACTGGACCTACCTGGACTGAGTCTACCAGGTTGATCTCAGTCCGTGGGGGAGGCTTTGCCCTGGAGGAGGTGGGAATGGAGGGTGGGTTGGGGGGTAGGTGAGGGGGGCGGGAGGGGGGAGAACAAGGGAATCCGTGGCTGATATGTAGAACTGAATTGTATTGCAAAATAAAAATAAAAATTAAAAAAAAGAAAAATTAAAAAAAAAGAATATTAACTTTGTCAGGACAAAAAAAGTTAAGAGTCAAATTAGTGACTGACAAAGAGGAGAATGTGGTCAGATGCATTAGAGAAGAGAAAGCAGTCAGGCTAAAGGCTTGCAGGGCATGAGAATTCAAATATACAGAGGCATGTTTAATATCCCGGGACCAGAATGCTGGGCTTAAAGGACAGGTGGTGAAGGATGATGTCAGTACTCTAAGGTAGGGTTTTACAGAACGTAAGAGCTTATAAATCTCAAGTTGCATTCTTAACTGGTTGATTTTTCCTCCCCAGCACACACACACACACACACACACACACACACACACACACACACACACACAACAGTAAGGCTGTTAAGCTTTGTCTATAAAACCCTCTGCTATCTAGTTTAGGAGCTGGTATGCTCACAGACATCTATATTTGCCTTGACAGTTGTTGTAAGCAGACATGAGAAGCTATCTACAAGGACTAAGAAGGACAAAATCAGAGAATCTATGATACTCCTTGGCATAGACCTGCGATGGACACAGAATTCTGTAGAACCCATAGACTCTACAGCGTCTGATCATGGGAAAAGCCAACATCTTTCTGATACTATCCTTCTACTGTGATTCTGGAAGATCCTCCTAGAAGTCCAATCATTTTTTTAACTTTCTTTTTATTTATTTTTTGTGTCTTTCACATCATGCATCTCAATCCCATGCATTTCCTCATATCTGCCCTCTGCCCTTGCAACCTCTTCCCCAAAATAATAAAAAATAAAATTGAAAATTGAAAAGAAAAAAAGGGGGTGGAAATCAATCTTGTCACTGAAGCTGTAGTGTGACACAGTGAGTAACACAGTAAACCCTTTTATCTCTATATATTTACTTGCTAGTGTTGGTTACAAAGAGTCATTGGTCTGGTTCAAGGCCTCTGTTTTCAGCTACACTATGGACACTGGGCCCTAACTGGGACTCCTCTTGGTTATCCTGTTGTTACCCTGTGTCATGGAGATTCTACAGCTTTAGGTCTGTAGGTCAGGTCCCTTCACATGCTCCAGCAGATCATAGATGGGGTCGATGTTAGGGTGGGTCAGCTTATAACACTGGTTCTGGGCCTCAGTAGTTGCAGGGTTGGTTAGCCCTCCATTTCTTCCCCATCTTCACCACCAGGACAAGCTCTCCAGCATTGCCCTGACTAGCTCACTCCTTGCAGATGAGCAAGGGGCAGAGACAGTTCTCCTGCTTTCATGCCCTCAGGGTCAGCTCTCCCACATCTACATCATCAGGGCGAATTTTACTTTGTTGCTCAGGAGAGGTGCAGCTCTCCCGATTGTTGCAGCTGGTGAGGGGAAGGGACAGATCTCTCGCTCTTATGGCCTTTGGGGGAGCTCTCCCACCACCTGCCACAGGCTAGGGGTAGGAGAGGATCTTTCCCCCACCCATACCACCATATGGCACACGTTGGCTGGAGCCAGATCTCTCATGTTCATGTTCATGTTCTCCAGCTGCTCACCCATGCCCGAGTCAACAGGTTCAGCTCCACTGTGCTTCCCTGACAAGGTGAAGGGCCCACTTTCCCCAGTGTTGCCGCTGATCAAGGGGAGGGACAACCTTGCCAGCTGGTGGCTGTTGGGATGAGGGGGGGGGGGTCTAATTACTTTTTGATAGTTATTTCTGTTAACCTCAGAGTGAGGCACTACATTGAGAACCAATATTAGGAGCCCACATGTATTCTCTAAATGCCAGTTTACAGCCCTTATTGGATGTCCTGAAGCATCATTTTTCTAATGTTCAGCAAAAAGCTTTATCCATAACTGAAATGTTCAGGGAATTGTGAAGGCCCACCTGCTGCTTGAGATCTTCCAGTGACTTCAAATTATTATTGCTGTGAAATCCCAAGTCGTTCACAGTTCAGAAAGTTTGCCATGATTCAACAGGCTACCTTTCTCCTTGCTTGTCACAGTCCATTCACATCCAAGTCCACATCAGTCCATCACAGTCTCCTGCTTTCCCAGGAATGCTAACCTCCCACTATCAGACATTTGCTACAATCATTGTCTTTCCTTGCAATGCATTCCTTCTTCTTTTAAACTGATAAAAATCTCCACAGTAGTAATTAAAGTCCATGAGACTCTTCTTCAGGAAAGTGTCCTCCAGACATGGCAATAATGCCTCTGTACTTTACCTCCTTTAATTCTTCTCAGTCTGGCAATAAAAAATCATTTAAGTTTTGTGGGTTTCTTTTTTATGTCTATCTATCCCATTATTCTGAAACTCCACAGAGGTCTGTCTTCTTTCCTGCAGTAGGAACTAATTAGTTGGGTTGGTAGTTGAGGGGATTATGCACTCATAATTCTATATTGCTTTTAGCACTGCTTGTAAGATTTAAATAGCTTAGTCCTGATAATATGTTCAGTGTGGTGCTAGAATATAGTACGGTGGCTCAATTAACTGCTAGGAATCTTCAAATATGTGTTTTCATTTCCTTGGTTATAAACCGAAGAAAAAAATGACAGTAAGGTTTGCAATTTACATTTTCTAACATGATTTCCTACCTTAGGTTTTCAAAAAAACAGGCCCTATTGCAAGGTTATATAAGTAAGCCCCAGAAGCATGATGATCGAGTAAGAAAGTAAGGCTGAAAAGAGGGGGAAGGCAACGCAGACCTTGTTATTTAGTGGAGGTCCCTTCATTGGTGGGCTGAATATGACTGGGACTACTCTGAAGGTATGCAGCCAACATCACTCAAGGTTTCCCCATGAAGGAAGCAGAGAGCTGATAAACTTACTGCCATGGTTTAAATATGAAGTGCTCCTCTCAAAGGTTCATGTATTGAAGAGTTGGATCCCATCTGCTGGTGCTACTTTGCAGGTTGAATAAACCTCAGGACTACCTGGCTTTGGGATCCAGGTCACTGTGATGGCTCTTCAGGGAAAGGTAATAGTATCCACAGTACCTTTCTATTGCTGTGTGCTTCCTGTTTCCCATGATGTAAACAACTTCTGCCACATAGCCTTATACCACAGTATACTGCCTCATTTGGGCCCAGAGATGTGGAGCCATGTGATTGTGGCCCAAAGCCCTCTGAAACTGTGAGTGAAGTAAATTGTCTCTTAGACCTAGCAGGTATTTGATGACAACATTGAGAAGGCTAACCAATACCCTTGCATGCCACTTTTCTACCCTTAAGATTGATGGTGGTTGCTCCTGAGACTAATCCTGTTACTAAAGAGCACCACAGGAAGTCCTTGTGGTAATTTTAAACTTGATGGACATGCTGACACACTACTGTTTGCTTTTTATTATTCATTTGATTTCTTGGTCATGATCACTGAAGGTATTTGTAAGAACCATTCGTACACTACCCAAAACTGTTACAATACTTTTGTAAGGAAATTTTGTAATCTGTAGCCAATAAAGATACAGAATTTGATCTATGTAAATCTACCTCAGATATTTTTCTTCAGTATGAATTGCAGAGACAAATAGCCAAACTAGTGGAAACTGTGAACCAATGGTGGAGGAAACCCCATGGAATGGACCAGGCCCTCTAGATAAGTGAGACAGTTGATTAGCTTGAACTGTTTAGGAGGCCCCCAGGCAGTGGAGTCAGGACCTGTCCTTGGTGCATGAGCTGGGTTTTTGGAGCCTGGGGCCTATGCTGAGACATTGGTGTAGGGAGAAGGAGACTGGACCTGCCTTGGCTGAGTCTGCCAGGCTGGGCTGACTCCCCAGGGGAGACCTTGCCTTGGAGGAGGTGGGAGTGGGGGGTAGATTGGGAGGGAAGGCTGGGGGTGGGAGGAGGGAGGGAGGACGGGGGGGGGGGGGGGGGGGGGGGGGGGGGGGGGGGGGGAATCTGTGGCTGATATGTGAAATTAAGTTAATTATAAAATAAAAATATTATAAAAAAGAATTGTCAATAAGTTCCAATACTTTTTTATTTTACAAATACATAATTTCTAAATCACATAAATTAAAAAAGTAAAAATATTTTTCAATCAAAGTAAAAATGAGTAGTACTATCTCTAGGTAAAATATAAATACTATTTATAGTAAACACAAATTTTTTCTTTAACATTAAAATCTCACTACCAATGCAGGAATTATCTATATTTTACAATGAGCATTTTATAGTAGTTTTAAACTTTTTACAAAACTATCTTGTAATAGTATGCTATGCTGAAACATTCTGAGTTGTATTTAAATAGAAAATACCAGATATAAGCAATTGTATAGTACCTACTTCAATAACACTGTGTCCAGGGTTTGATACATAGGGAATAACCAAAAAAAAAAAAATGAAAAGAAAAAAATGTAAAGAGACAAGAGTTATTGCTAAATCAAAATATTTATTTCCCCAGTGGATAGCTATTATGTTAACTCTCTGCTCCTTCTGCTCCCCTTGGATAGGACACCAACCAAAATGCAAAGTATGATTCCATCGGTGTTTAGCCTTAGAATGCCAATAAATTTACTGGGATTACTTAACAGAGCACAGGTAATAGATTGCTTACAGGAGCATAGTAGATCTCAGAGCAATCACACCACTGAATAGTCTCATCCCAGTATGGATGACTTCCCCATAGTTGTAGAGATCTTCCTTTTGCTACTATTTCACAGTCAGCACATTCTAGCATCTTCGAGACCATGAGGCAATGTGCAGTTAGTGCCGAATCATGCAGCTGGCTAGGAGGAACAGAAGGAAGTGGCTGGAATCTCAGATGGCGTTCCAACGACCCTCCTCACCACTATATTTTGTTAGAGAGTATTAAAAAGGCCCTTGATCTTGAGGTCTCTTGCAAGCAGTCACAGTTGCTGTATTGAGGACAGTGAGTGTTATGGGCAGAGGGCTGTATTCTACAAAAATAGCTCGTGTTAATTATAGGTATTTGCTATGCTCTGTGGTCCCTGGGTCCTGGTTAGCCAGCTTCCTCAGGAGTGACATTTCCTTTAGGGCTTTGATGCACTTCATAAGGGAGCATTGATAACTCTGTGATATTCAGGATCTTTATTCTGCCAACACTCCTGCAAGAGAGATAGAAGAACCAGACCAGCAGCAAGAATTAGATAATATGAAATGACCAGCTGACTTGGGCAGCATCTCACCAAAGAACATTGCTAGAGTCTGAGAGAGTGCTTATATACTCTTAAAAGTTTAGGACAGTATATATGTTAAAAAAAATGTGTTGTATGAAATTCTCAAAGAACTAATAAAAACACACACATATAATTTAAAAAATCCTTTCTTGTGTTTTCTTGTATCAGCTTAAGTTAGTCACCATATACTTCTTTCATTAGAGAACTTAAGCCTATTCTTACAAAGATAATCTTTTTTAAAATCTTTCTGAAAATTTCATCAAGGCCAAAGTGACCTTTCTCCTGGAAAAAGTCTTTAGTTGAAGGTATCATGTTGCTAAGTGACAGGGAGAATCTGCTCTCCTGGTGCCGTACCCCTGGTTACTGCCACTAATCTTAAAGCCACAGTGTGTCTCTTCAGTCACACATTTTCAGTGTTGAGGTTGTGTTGTTGGTAACTAGCATGGTAGCATCATAGACCTTCAGGGATTTTACCATAGAGTGCCCTGTACCTCTGTCCTCTTCACACTGCCTTTGTATTTCCTTCTATGCTGAGGCTGAGACAGGAGTTCTCAACACTTGGTCTGTAGATGTCTATGCTCACCTAGTCTTTTGTTCACGTCTTACAGTTTCTTCAACTTTCCAACCGTTGTACTGCTTCCCTTCCAAGGTTAATTCTACCTTTTCTCTGATTCCCATCCCTTCTGGTATCCATGGGAACACAACCTTTACAGAATTTAAACTTGCTAAATCACCTTCATATTTCACTGACCAGTTTTTTTTTTGTTTTCATTATTATCATGAAACAGCGGATGTAGTCTATTTATGAAGAAAGACATTGATGGCAGGGCAGAACTGACTCAGACAGGGTGAGAATCTCAAGGTGAACAGCAGAGGGCGACAGTAGGGGAAAATGTTGGTGCTTGGGGTCATGTTTCCATCTAGGTAGCAGAGGGAACTGGATGGGGTGGGGGTGGTGGGGGTGGTGGTGTTCTGTTTGCTCCTTTATAACAGGTCCCTAAAGAGAATTCAAGAATTCTAGAGAATATATAGTCTATGACCTTCCACCAGACCTCACCTCTCAAAGATTTACACTGCCTTCTAGTACTGCCATCCTAGGGAGTCTGCAATTACAACAAACAACTCGGAACACACACACACACACACACAACCACTCAAACTATTGTGCACACTAAAACAATTATTTCCAAATTATTTACAGACTAACATACATTTATATTTGAGCAGAAGCTTAAAAAATCTATTTATTTAAAATAGATTTTTTTCAAACAATATATTCTGATTATTCCCCTTCCCTCATTCCTCCCAGTTCCTCCTCCTCTTCTCTCCCTTCCAGATACATATCCTTTCTTAGAAAACAGTCTGCCAAGCTCTGGTAGCTTTTAATCCCAGCACTCTGGAGGCAGAGGCAAATAGATCCAGGCCAGACTGGACTACAGAACTAGTTCCAGGATAGCCAGGGCTACACAGAGAAATCTTATCTTAAAAGTACAACAAATAAACAAACAAAACAATCTGAATAGGTCAAAACAATAAAACAATATAAAAGCCAAAGAAAAAGCCCAAGAAACACATATGGACACAGAGACACACACTTTCACACACAGAAATTCCATTAAAACACAAAACCATCAGCCATAACATATACACAAAGAACCTGTAAGTTTAAAAAAAGAAAGCCTTGACCTCTGACTCAACATTAGAAGTCAAAGAACCTCCAAAGATGCCACTGAGTTGATTTTATGCTGGCCATCTACTGCAGGGCTTGCAGCCTACTCTTAAGAAGGGTCTGTTTATTCCAGTGAGATTCCCTTGGAGAAAACTAATTTTTCATTAGCAAGTGGTTATCAATTGGAGATAGTTTCTGGGTTAGGGATGGGGCATACATCCGCTTCTCCTCTCAGCTGTAGATACCCATCTGGAAGAGAACACATGCTGCCAGAGTCTCTTAGTTTAATGGATATCAGTTGTTTTGTGTTTAGAAGCCTTGATTTCTTGTTGTCTTCTATCCCCTCTATTCTTACATACACCCACTCTACTTCCAGAGTTCCTTGAGCCACAGTGAGGGGAGATTTGATCCCATTCAGGGTTGAGTGTTACAAGGTTTCACTCTCTATAAAATGTCTGTGGGTTTCTGTATTTCTTTCCATCTGCTGCAGGAGGAATCTTCTCTGATGATGGTTGAACAAGGCACTGATCTAAGAGTATAGCAAAAGGTCATTCTGAGTGATGTTATTGATACATTCCTTTAGAAGAAAATTGTATTTAGTTTTCCCCTAGGTTCCTGGCCTATCTAGTCTCAGGTTTTTGGACACTCTATCCCAGTAGCACCGGGTATGGGTTCTATCTCATGGAATGGGCCTTAAATCAAATCAGATATTTATTGGTTACCCCCATAAGCTTTGTACCACCATTGTACCAGCTTGTCTTGCAGATAGGTCACCATTGTAGATCAAAAGGAAGCCAGGTTGGTGTTTACCTTTCTCCTTTGGTCGTGTGCAGAGTGCCTTCCAATACCACAACACCAGTTAGTAGTGGCGAAGGCTCTAAATGAGCACCAGCTCAACCTCTTGGTGTTCAGTGAGTTGTGTGGGTATTGTCTTCAGAGTAGGGCCTTGCCGTCAGCTGGTGGAGAGCAACAAAAAGCCTTGGCAATAGCCTGGATTGTTTGGGGATTCCCATGGAACAACTTTGGCCAACTATTCAGAGTAAGTTCAGCTGGGATTCCATCTCCCCAGATATTTGGCTATTTCATTAAAATTACCTTCGTATTATATGCATATACATATATATATTAGGAAGCTTTTATTGTATTAGGTTTCCATACAATCCCTCAAATGGCCCTTAGATTTAGATATTCCTCCCCATAATCTCTCCCTTTATCCCCTCTTCCCTTCCCCTTCTCATTTGATTATCCTATTCCACTCCCCCTCCAGTCCATACATAAGTATCTATTCTATTTCCCTTTCCTAGGGAGAGCCATTCCTCTCGCCAGTACCTTACTCTATACTTAACCCCCATGGTTATATGGATTGTAGCTTAATTATCAATGGATTAACAGCTAATATCCATACATTATCAAGTACATACCATTTTGTCTTTCTGAGTTGCCTCACTCAGGATAATTTTTTTCTAGTTCCATCCATTAACTTGATAATTTCATCGCTTAATTTTTAAAAATTGTTTAGTAGTATTCCATTGTGTAAATGTACCACATTTTCTTTATCCATTCATTCATTAATGGACATATAGATTGTTTCTACTTTCTGGTTATTGTGATTAGAGCAACAATGTGCATGATTGATTGACTGTATATCTCCAGAACAGGATGGAGCATCCTTTGGGTATGTGCCCAAGGGATAAGGGCAAAATCACTGACTCTGATAGGCTAGAAAGTGAGAAATAGTGTTTAACTTGTTGGCACAGAAACATATTTTCTGAACAGAACACTAATAGCATAGACATTGAAAACAGCAATTAATAAATAGAACCCCATGAAACTTAATAGCTTCTGTACAGTGAAAGATACAACCATTTAGACAAAGTGGTAGCCTACAGAATGGAAAAATGTTTTTTTTTACTGACTACATATATAATAGAGGGCTTATATCCAAAATACATAAAGAACTGTAATCCTGGACATCAGGAAAAAAAACATTTAAACATGGAATACAGAACTAAACAGAGAATTCTCAAAAGAGGAAACTCAAATGGTCAAGAAACTTGAGAAACTTGAATATTCAACATCTGGAGTCATCAAGGAAAAGCAAATCAAAACTATTTTAAGATTTCATCTTACACAAGTAAGAATGGCTAAGATCAATAAAACAAGTGACATTTCATTCTGGTAAGGATGTGGAATAAGGGGAATACTCATCCATTGCTGATGGGAATGCACTTATACAGCCACTATGGAAATCAGTATGGTGGTTCTTCAGGAAGCTGGGAACTGAACAGAAGCTTTTGAATGACAAGCCTCTACTTACTGTCCTCAGTTCCCCATTTTTCTTTTACTTGTATCTGTGAGTAGGGTCTGTGAATAAGCTTGAAGCAATGCCACTCATCACATCCCGACTTTGAAATTCAGTTCCTGCAAACATCAATTTTGTTTCTTTTGGCTGCCATGATTTCACTTTTCTTGTTTTTCCTTTGTCTGATTTCGTTCACCTATGTTTCTTTATACTTTGCCTTAAAGCCCTCTTTCCATCTGCTAAACTCCATGCAGTTCATAGTTTATCCCTTTGCTCATATCTTGTAACTTTTCTTGTTGGTCCTACACAAGACACCTTAAAATATCATTCCACATTCTTTTGCTATAATTTCAAAACTTCACCTTTTGTTTGTTAAAGACTCAAAAGTCAACAACTTCTAGAGCCTCCGACCCAGGATTCCCGCGCCATGCCGTCCGAGAAGACCTTCAAGCAGCGCCGCAGCTTCGAACAAAGAGTGGAAGATGTCCGGCTCATATGGGAGCAGCACCCCACCAAGATCCCGGTGATAATAGAGCGATACAAGGGTGAGAAGCAACTGCCCGTCCTGGACAAAACCAAGTTCCTTGTACCTAATCATGTGAACATGAGCGAGCTCATCAAAATAATTAGAAGGCGCTTACAGCTTAACGCCAATCAAGCTTTCTTCCTCCTGGTGAACGGGCACAGCATGTCCATTAGATGTCAGCTGTGAAGACAACAGCAGCAGGAGACACATGCTCTTGATGATATCCATGGCCAGTTCCAACTAGTGCAAACCACTGCTTCCTGCTTCCTGCATGTGGTCCACTGTGACACTCAGACCATCCTTGGTCACTCACTCATCCTTGTGATCTGAGAATCTCAGTGAGAACTGCCTGCTGTCATGGAGGGAAACCAACATAGCCACCTCCTACCCTAGCTCCTTACAGGCACCCCTCCCCTCCCCGCATGCGGCTGTCCACTTGCTAACTTTCAATTTGTTATTTACATCATGTATATTCTGACTACCCTGTCTCACGTAGGTTGTGTACGTCATTATTATGTCCCCAGTTTTTATAACTACGGTGCGATCAATAAGGATTCCTGTAATACTGCTTTAAAAATGCTGTTCAGACGGGCGGCCTTCATTTATAGGACATCTGTACACTTCGATGCACTAAGTGAATAAAGGCACAATTGAACCTGAAAAAAAAAAAAGTCAACAACTTTATTGCGTTTAGTTATGCCTTGTCTTGAACACATTTATCCATTTCATTTTTTAAAAAACTAAATCTTTAACTAGGCAATGGTGGCACATGCCTTTAATTCCAGCACTTGGGAGCCAGAGGTAGGCAAATCTCTGTGAGTTTGAGAACAGTCTGTTTTACAGCATGAGTTCCAATACAGCTGGAGCTGCTACAAAGAAAAACCCTGTCTCAAAAAACAAAAACAAACCAACAAATAAATAAATAAATCTTTAAGAAAGAGACAAGAGCATATGTTTTGGTAGTACATATAGACAACAATTAAACAGGCAAGTTTGATGAGGTATCAGAGTTATATCAGAGTAGGGAATAGGTGAGTTTGAATAATCATGGAAATTGTCATGTTTAAGGGGTAAATAGAGATCAGAAATGTTGGTTATAGTAATTAGAGTGAGGACACACAGTTGAACACTACACAGGAGCCAATAAGACCTTTATCTAAAGGTTGGATTTAACTTCAAGGACAATGAGAAAAATTTAAAGCAATTTTAGCTAGAGAGTAGAACTTCCTTAATTTTATCATTAAATGTTTAATAATTTGAATATTTTAGGTTTAGAGTAAAATTGACAGGAAGGTATATATATATAGAGAGAGATCCCACATATCTTCTAGATCCTCTAGGAGACCTACATTATTTGCTTTAAATGCTTGAGGCTGAGATGATAGCTCATTGGGTAAGAGCACTTGGTGTATAGACACAAGGATATGAGTTTAAATTTACATGTAGCTGTGCCCATTTCTGACCTCAGTACTATGGAAGGTGGAGACAGAAGGATCCTTGGGGCTTGTTGGCTACTAACCTAGGCAAAAAAATAGTGATTTACAGTTCAGAGAGAGGTCTTGTCTTGATGGAATAAGGTAGAGAATTATAGAGCTATTTATTCTGTAGTGGGGTGACAGGTCACTGTAGTTTTGATGTTAGTTTTCACCATGACTATTTTCATGTACCTGATAACTATCTGTATATTATTTTCAATTTTTCATGTATCTAGAAGAAGTTTGCATGCTATTTTGAAAAATGTATACTGTTATTCTCAACATCAGATTATTTTCTTTTTTGTATTGAAGTCCCAGAACCATTTTTTTGATAAGTAAGATTTTTTTTTAGTTCTTATATATATATATATATATATATATATATATACATATACACATACACATATATATGTACATATATATTGGATATTAATCCTCTTTTAGATGTATAGCTGACTGCTGAGGAATTATTCTGTATACTGTATATATATATATATATATATATATATATATATATATCTCCCATTGGTTAATAAAGAAATGACTGTCAGTAGCCAGGATGGAAGTATAGAACTGAGAATGTTGGGAGGAAGAAAGGTGGAGTCAGTGGAGTCAACAGGAGACACAGAGGGAGTAAGACATGCTGGAGGATAGGTAAAACCATGAGCCACATAGCAATACATAGATGAATAAAAATGGGTTAATTTAAGTTGTAAGAGCTAGTTAGTAATAAGTCTGAGATATTGGCTGAGCGTTTACAATTAATATTAAGACACCATGAGTGGTAATTTGAGAACTGGCAGGCGGGAAAGAAATGTCTATGGCTGCTGGCACAGGAAATCTCCGTCTTCAAATGGCACCCAATGTGGGTCCACGTATGTGGTGGTATTGTGTTTCCAAAAATATTGTGCACGCTAATAAACTTATCTGGGGTCAGATAACAGGACAGTCACAATATTAAACATAGAGGATAGGCAGTGGTAGCACACGCCTTTAATCCTAGCATTCCAGAGGCAGAAATCCCTCTGGATCTCTGTGAGCTCAAGGTCACATTGGAAACAGCCAGTCACGGTGACACATGCCTTTAATCCCAAGAAGTGAGCCTTTAGTCCCAGGGAGTGATGGCAGAAAGCAGAAAGATATATAAGGTGTGAAGATCAGAAACTAGCAGCATTTGGTTGGTTAAGCATTTGGCTGGTTTAGCATTTGGCTGGTTAAGCTTTTAGGCTTTGAGCAGCACAGTTCAGCTGAGATTCATTTGGATGAGGACTCAGAAGCTTCCAGTCTGAGGAACTGGTGAGCTTAGGAAGCTGTGGCTTGTTCTGCTTCTCTGATCTTCCAGTATTCACCCCAATAACTGGCTTCAGGTTTGATTTTATTAATAAGACTCTTTAAGATTCATGCTACACATGTATATCCACATAAAGCCTGAGAAAGCTTAGAAAAAGGTTCTAAACATACCAAAACAGAGCCAGACACAACTTCATAGTCTCACGTCTCTCATGCTAGCTGTGGTACTGCAGTGGAACAGTAACTGAAACAGTTATTCTTGGAGGAGTAACTAGGTTGGCAAAGTCTAACCTCTCAATGGTAGACTGGCATTTAATAAAGGAGATGAAGCCAGCCACAGGCCAAGAAGAATGGGAAGCTGAATTCCAAAAACACCATCAATTTCCAGAACTTAGAATTCAGGTTTATCTGGTACATGGAATACTTGTACCAAATGTGAGGTCAAGCTGTAGACCTTGCATGCATCCTACTTCACAAGTGAGTCTGTTAGATACACTAAGCCTGCAGGCCAAAGATGATGCCCCAAAGTGCAGAAAAACCTCAGGTGAAAGTCCAGGAAAACTGGCTGTTTCTGTCATAACTTATTTTTTGGAAGTCGCTTGTTTGCACTTCCTGTTTTACTAGGTAATATTATTTCCTTCTCAGGTCTCCAAGGGAGTTGGAGATTAGATAGTTATAGTTACAATTTTCCTTGTTAAGAAATTCAGAAAAGAAACTCACTAAGAGGTGTTAAGTGTGTAAGTTTGAAAAACATCATAAGATAGTTTTCTGTTGGTAATAAAGTTAGGATAGAAAATAAATTAGGTACATTTTGAACTCACCAAAATAGGATAGATAATGGAATATTTTCTCTGAATTTGTCAAATGCAAATGGACTAGACATTGTTGATATGTTTGTTGCTTGTATATATTATATGTAGTTTTTGTACTTATTGTATATAGTTTTTCTTATATTAGCTATAACTTTTTAAAATGTTTTTAAATTTTTTTATTGGACAAAAAAAGGGAGAAATGTGGTGATATTTTATTTGTGCTTTAATAAATAAAGTTTGCCTGGAGATCAGAGGCAAAAGGCCAGCCATTATAAGTAAACAAAGAAGTCAGGCAGTAGTAGCACATGCCCTTAATCACTTAGCAGGCAGGAACTCTGTGTGTTCAAGGTCACACTGGAAACAGAGCCAAGTGTGGTGGCACACATCTTAATTCCAACATTAGTTAACTATGGGTATCTGGAGGTCTGTACAGACAGACAGAGCTGTGTAGGAAGAGGAAGTATTGTAGCTGGACAGAGAGCAAATCAGATGGCAGAACAGCAAAGCATATGGGAGTGGGTAGACAGGAAGTAGCTCGCATTTGGGAGATGCAGAGTTGGAAGGTTGGCTGGTGGCTCTCCTTATTTCCCTGATCTCTCTAAGGCTTTCACCCCTATATTTGGCTCTGTGTTTTTTATTTAATGAGACCATTTAGAAATTCGTCTACATGGTACAGTGACCCATCTCCTGGCTGCTGCCAGGGCACCATGAGCTAACCCACATGGTGGGTTCCTGCAGTCTCTCACACAGGCTGCAACACAGAGAGATGTCTCCTGGATGTGGGTTGCATGGTGGTTCTAGGGTTTTGTGCATGCTGACTAAAAAGATTACAGATATGCAGTAAAGATAGATTCAGGCAGAGAATACCTCTAACTGGGTTACAGTATGCTCTCTCTCTCTCTCTATATATATATGTATATATATATACACACACATATATATGTATATATATACATATACATATACATATACATATATATATAGGCTTAGGGGAGAAAAGAAAAGGTATAGACAATCATAAAATATATTTATATATAGTTTTAAAATAATAAAGTCCTTAAAAAAGGGAGTAAAGTAATATAAAAGAAATAAGCCATGTAAAGATGAAAAATACACAGGGAGTCTGGATACTGTAGGTTATTGTGTTGTCTTTGAATTTTTTGACTGCCAAGGAAGGAGTGATAGCTGCTAAGAGACATTTTAATATATAGGTTGCTGGAGTAAATCAACCTACATATTTTTTAAAAAGTATTGACTTCAAAATAAAAGTCAAAAGATATGTTACTTTGGGAAAGAGTTTCTGCTTTAATTTCAACAGAAAATAAGAGGGTATGGATTCATTCAAAGGAAAAGATCAAGGTTTGATCAAGAAAGACCCCTTGAAAATCCTGGCCACAAACATAAAGAAATAAACCTGGAAGAGTTATAAGACACATGATGCATATTTTACCTGCTCAAACATAAAACAAAAAAATCATCTTTAGCTGACTTGTGTACACAGTCTATACTTGTATTAATACAGATATGTATGTTGCCTTTAAAATTTTATGTATTTTCAGAACAAGGGGGGCAGACACAAATAAAAATGTATGTCCCAGGTGTCCAGCACCCAGAAGAGCTTCAAGGCTGCTGACTGAGATGATCCAGCGTCACAGAGTACTCCAGTTAAGACCTAACATTTATCCTTATTTTCTCGAGGTTCCTCCAAACAGTACAGTGGCCCCAGACAACAAGAAGCAGTCTAGAGAAAACAATGCCCAGGTTCCCAAAATATTGGTTATAGATGTTTGTTATCATTTAAGGGGGTTACAAATTGTTATTGTTCATAGTTTTAAAAAAAGGCTAAACAAAGAAGTTAAACTCAAAGATCTCTTTCTGAAAGAAAAAAGGATATGA